AGGAACTCAAGTTGAAAAGTACAGATAGGGGTATGTGTTGTATTATTAGTTGTTTATGGCTTTGGTAGAAAGGGGTATGTGCTGCATTATTTCCTGTTTTATGGGCTTATATGTTGTATTTTTACGAAGTATTGTGAGTGTTAATAGAAGAGAATTAGGGAGAAACAGGTATGTAGTTATGCTATTTAGGAAAATAACTTCCAGAATAACTGATTCTCTTTGTTTATGACTCTATGTGCAGTGAGTAATAGGATGAATACGGTAAAAAAGAAAAAGGGATAAGAATAAGATAAGGAATATGGTTAGTTATGAGTACTTATGGGAATTTGTCAGGAGATTAACGGTAAAAAAGAAAAAAACAAAATGGTAAACTAGTCTTCCACGTATCAGTTAGGGCTAGAGCTAAGATTAATATTTTGAATATATTTCCACAGCAGCCGCTGCTGCATCGTGAACTAATATTGATTCCGGCTGTAAATGTCACCTCTTTATTGCTTTGTAACCTTTTTTTTTAAATAAAAACGTGTATATTATGTATATGACACCAAAGGATATTGCCCCTGTGCAAGAATATTTACAAATCCATTAGTACGTCAAATACCCTCCCAAAATCATCTCACCTATATACATCATGACCCAGAATTTGAGTTTCAAAAGTATGTAACCATTTATCTCTAATTCTTCTTATATCCATCACACACTCATTGAATGCTATATTGTTTCTCTCTTTCCAAACAACTCAAAAAATAGTCAAACGAATCAGTTTAACAATCTTATATCTATTCTCCATCTCATCCTATACCCACAATTCATTTTTTACCGAGCCCCCAATCACCCAATTGATATCCAATAAGCTGCACACCATATGCCATAAATTATACGTCACCCCGCACCAGAGTAGAAGATAGTTGCATGATTCAGCCGCATCCATACGAAGGTAACACCCATTGACGCTAATATGGCCCCTTCTCATCAACTTATCAATAGTGAGACTACACTCCCAACCAGCTTCCCAAGCAAAAAAGGAATGCTCGGAGGCACTTTTGCTTTCCAAATCTGATGGTCTCGAAAATTCAATCTATTATCCTCCTTAATCATCAAATAGTCGTAGAAGGATTTCACAATAAAAATTTAATCTTTCTTGAATTTCCAAGCAGCCTTGTCTCTATTAATATCCAAATGAACATCTGTTAGAACTTGAAGAAGCCTTGTATATTTGTTAATTTCCTAATCATTCAAATTTTTAAACAAATCAATGTCCCACTCACTCCTCCTATCCCTCCCCCTAAATACCTCCTCCACCACCACATTCTTCCTCGTTACTAAACTATAAACTCTTGGAAATTCCCTCTTAAGACTATGAACTCTTGGAAATTGCCTTTAAAGACTACCCCTCATCCTCACAAAAACTAATGATGTCACCCCTCTCAATCTTCCACTGAATACCCTCCATGAACTTCTCCCTCCCCATATTAATACCCTCCCAATAACCCAACCCATGAGGCCTAGCTAAACCCCTGCTATTCCCTTTCCCCACCAAATCCCCCACCCTGCCCCAATGACCCTA